GTTGAGTCCCCATCCCTGGAGGTATTTAGAAGATGTGTAGATGTGGCACTTAGGGACATGGTTTAGTGGTGGACTTGGCAGTGTTTGGTTTATGGTTGGACTTGATTATCTGAAAGGTCTTTTCCAACCTAAATGATTCTATGATTCTATGAAATTAATTGCTTGCACACTGAGGTTCAGTACCATTTGCAGCCATGGGTACAACCCCTTCTGTCCAACAGCAACCAGTTACCCTAGTTGTTGGTGGCTGGTTTATACCCAGTGCTTAGCTGGCTTCAGATAGGGACAAATCCTAATGCCTGTCCCAAGGAAAGGTCACGCTCAGGCCCTGCATCCTGTCCCGGTAGATCCTGTCGAAGGTCTCACTCTGCGCCACTGTGAAGTGGTTATCCCAGACCCCGCAGATGCCTGAGGAAGAAGTGTTTCGGGCTCAGAGCCCACCCCAGTACGCAGCCCCCCTCTCTGCTCTGTAGGCACAAGGGGAGAGGCTCAGCTCTTGGGTCGGGCTACCCTCCCAGGGGGTTGTCCAAAATGAAAGACCATCCCTGGAAACATTCAAGGTCAGGTTGGACGGGGCTCTGAGCAACCTGATACTGTTGAAGATGTCCCTGCTCATTGCAGGGGGGTTGGACTAGATGACCTTTAGAGGTCCCTTCCAACCCAAACTATTCCATGATTCTATCCTACGATTCTATGAATCTATGGACCCCATTCTTCAGACCCAAATGCACCGTAATGCGGCTCTCTAAGACACCCTCGCTCTGGCTGTCCTCATGGGGGAGGACACCTGACGGGGGGGTCTCCCTGAAGTGTTGTGATGGCGTTCCTCTTGCTCACCCTTCCTCAGGACCTGGCCCTTCGTCTGGGGAGCAGGATGGAGCTGCACATTGGGTTCTCCCACATGGCCGTGAAGGAGGCATTTTGCACCACTGAGGAGATGGCATCATCATCCAAATCCTGCCCCAGGAACGGGCAGAGACGTCTCACACTGCTGTACAGGTCCTGCAGGGACAGACGGAGCCTGTTACCACCAAGTGGCTTATGACACAGCAGCATGTTTGGAGCTGGAGGGTCTGCCTAGGTGTCTACCTGCTTCAGCTCTTCATAGGTGATGAAGAAGAAATTCTCCATGTCCTTCATCTCCATCCAGCCTTGGACGTGTTTGAACCAGGAGCCACGGGGCACTGAGGGGAGGCAAAAGGCAGTAGGGCAGGGCAGGGCAGGGGATGTGCAAGGCTGAGGAGGGTTCACACAAGGTTGGGAGCAGGGCAGGCACGATGCAGGACAGAGCAACAGTGTCCAGGGAGCACGTGGGACTGGGAGGTTCAACTGCAGTTGCAGCTGAGCAATGGGTTCTTCTCCAGCCACCTCCACCATGGTAAGAGGTTGAGGCTAGAGGTGTGCAAGGCTCATGGGTAAGGTCCTGCCAGGGCTTTATAGGGCTTCTTGGCCAAGACTTCCTGAAGGTATCTGAACTCTGCAGGAGAAGGCAGGGAAATCCACTTTCCATCTGCTTCAAAGCACAAGAGGGCTTTGTGGCCCTGCATGTCTCTCCAGAAGTGCTTTGCTTTCCTCCTGAGCCATTCACCTCTCTCCTATGGGAAGCTTGGCTTCACAGCCATCATCAGAGGACAGTAGCAAGAGACCCTTGAGCCAGAGGTGATGGGAGACACCACCCACCCACCTCCGTGCCCTGAGTAAGGCCCAAACCACATGCACGCTTTCCATTCAGAAAGTCCCTCAGGAATTGCTTGAAGGATGTGGGAACCTCATAGCTGTTGCACACCTTGGAGAAGTAGTAGTAGGAAATGACAACATCTCGAGGATCCTGTAGGGTGTAAATAACCTGGGATAGAGTGCGTACAGGAGTGATACGCACCCGGAAGGGGAAGGAGAGTTGCAGGCCCTGGCACTGGGGTAGATCTGAAAATGGAGGGGTCTGCCACCCAAGGACCAACTCTGTGCTAGACTCAGTCACGCAGACCTTGGGCACACAAGTCCCCTAGAGTCATTGGAGACTCTCCAAAATATCCAAGAGGGGAAGGATGTGAGATGGGGATGTGCATATTTCCATCTGGAGAGCATGGAGGACACTCACCACTCTCCTAGGCCAACACCGAGGTTCTCACTCAACACCCCTCACGCCAAGGTTCCCCAGATCCTGGGTGATGGTCTTCCCAGCCCTTCTGTCCCCCTTGAAGCTCTGTATGGGTGCCTGTCCCACCTTGGTGCTGGAATGAGAGAAGGACTTGGGGAAGATGTGCCTGGGGAGGTAGCAGGTCAGCAGGTGAGGCAGGGGCGTAGCTGAGGGCTGACTCCAGACCCAGCCCGGTTGAGAACCAGGGCATGTGGTCAGAATTCAGGATGGTTCGGCTCCAGATGGGGCAGATGTGGCTGCGAATGAGGCTCAGGATCTTGGTCATCCACATGGTGCCTGCCAGGGAAAGCAGAGATACAGGGCAGAGTACCTTGCCCAGGGGGTCGGGATGGGAGGATGTCACTGTGCCACAGCTCCATGGTCAGCAGCACCCTCAGAACCGAGTCTGTGCCCCACCACGATATGGTGCTGCCCTCCACCAAGATATGGTGCTGCCCTGCCAATGCACAACCACTGCGGTAAACCCCCCCCCCAAAAAAACATTCCTGTTGCCCACCACAAGGCAAGATTCACCTTCTGAACAACACCTGGCGGTATTTCCAAAGGCCTCACCTCTCTCCTGCCCCTCTCCACCCTTGGCCAGCCCCGCTGTCCACCCCTCGTACCAGACTTGGGGTAGGTGACATTGAAGATGTCATCGTCCCACACGAGGAACTCACTGTGGGCGAAACTCAAGCTGTGCTCGGAGTTGTAGGCAGGGGGGAACTTAATGCCTTCATACGTCACATAGCGGAGCGGCATCGTGCCTGGGTGGGGATGGGGATGAGGTGCTGCAGCTCTGTACCACTATGACGGGGAGGGAGAGAGACGGAGTAAGGGTGCTGACTCCAAGCCAAGAAACCTCTTCCCCCCATAGCAGGTCCCAAACAGGAGCCCAGCCATCCCGTATCCCCAGCATCCCCCGATGCTGGGGATGTGGGATGTGTATTATGGGATAACCCACCCAGCTACTCTCCAGTCCTTCCTTGCGGGGACCCTACCTCAACAGCAGGTTGTGCGGATGGGGGACTGCTGGCTCGTAGCGCATTTAAGGAGCTCTAGGGCTAAATTCCTGCTGATGGACCAAACTTCCATCTCCCTCCCCTTGCTGCCCCACGTGTTTGCCTGCCCTCACAGCTTGGAGGGGTGTCAGGCAGCCGTCGTTGCAGGACCTCTGGCCAGTCAGGCTGATAGGAGGTAGAACTTCCCTGTCTGGTACCCAAAACCCAGCTTTGCTCTGCTCCAGGAGCTACAGGTCCTTGGAGGTGCCAGGAGCTGGAGGGAGAATAAAAAGGGGAGGGGAAAGTTTTCTGCCCTTGTGCCACCATTCTGGAGCAAAGATTAACAAGATCCAACGTCCAGCAGGCATCCCTTTCCCGAGGACGGGGTGGGTGGGCTGGGATGCGGGAAGCACAGCAGTGTAGGTCCTTTTGGGAGCACGGTGAGGTGGGAAGCTGGTGTCCTGTGTCCTCTGCCCTGAACTCCAACCCCACTGCAAGAACCCCACTTTTCTCCCATGCCCCTTTGAACTCCCCCCTAACCCTAACCCACCCTAACCTTTTCCTCCAAATACGCTATTAAACAATTTCCCTGAGCTAAAGATCCTCTCCCAGTAAATTTCCCAGTAAATCCCAGTAAATTTAACAAACGCATTAAAAAATGGATTATTAAAATGGCTCATCAAAAAAAAAAGTCTTTCCCAGAAAGGCAGAGATGCTGCTACAGCAATAAGGGATGGGCCAGATCTTCTTTTTCATTAAAAACCTTCATGACTGCACTACAGGGAGAGGAAGAGAAGTTCTTCCTCCACTGAGGCACTATATGGTCTGCTGTAGATCCAAGGACGGGGATGTTTAATGCCATTAATTAGAAGCAACCAATGCTTCTTGTAAATAAGGCAGCCATGCAGTCATCTGCAAAATTAAAAGTATTTTCTACATGTTCCCCGAGGAATGCAGCAAGTATTCTGCTTTCTGGCAAAAGGACTGCTATTTTGAAAATTTTATGTAATGCGATATGCTGATAAAAGTAGACTGAAAAGAAAGTCCATGGGGCGTGCGCAGTGTTTGAGAAGTAGTAAATATTGGCTTTGAGTGCACAGGACAGTTGGTTTTTTAAGACAACCAACTAAACCAGCAATTTCCCTTTGGATCCTGCTTTGTTTTCCAAGCAAACAGGAGAGAAAATGGCATTAAGAAATGTTTAATCACTTCAAAGAGCAATGTTAAGCCACCCCCGGGTAGGAGGTTAACAGTGGAAGTGGGAAATTAAATTAACCCTTGGGACTACCCATCACCTTCCTTGCTTTGAGTGAAGAAACAAGTTAAGCAAAACTGAAAAACACAGGAAAAACCTCAAAGTATTACCAAATTTTTTTTTTCTTTGCAATCTGAGCGGGTATCTACATTTTTCAGAACAGACCTAAAAGAAAGCTATCAGGTTTTTTATAATCAAGTTAATAAATAACTGTAGGCTTGCCCACCTCCAAAAACTAAGTATACTAGCCTAAACAATTATTAAAAATTAGATAACAAATGTGTGAAAACACCTTGGCATGGATAGATAACAAATGTCTGTAAACACCTTGGCATGGATAAATTGTTAGTTAAAAAATGTCAGTCTATATTTTAGAAATACATATTACATCATATTTAAAAGGTATTAAAACATTATAAGCAGTGTTTGGTTAGTTAAGATATAGAGAAAACCAAAAATGAATGTATTAAGTTTCAGACATTTTTAAGTTTTCTTATTAAAAAAAACCATTCATGCTACTGGGGGAAAAAAGAGGAAAAAAAGCAAAGAAAGGATTTTAAACTGCAGCCAGGGCATTTAAGTTAAACTTTAAGGAAAAGCCTGTAATTATAAAGACTGTCAAAAATTGTATTAAAAATATTAACATGCAACAATTCCAAATCAAACTTGTCATGTCAGAATAGCAATTAAACAATATTTAAAAGCTAAGAATGAATGAATGCATGCTAGCCTTTTAAAACATAGCGATGAGGCATGAATATAAAAAATTAATTTCTTCAGCACTAAGGTTTTAGAAAGAAAACCCAATCTTACCCAAACTGGAATCCACAGCAATTTAGAATGAATTAAAATCAGTTAATTAACTGAAGTTACCACTTTAAAATTAATTAAAGCAGTAATAGAGGAGTGAAGTCTCATTAAAGAAAACCCATTTGTGCTAAAGTGGAACAGAAATCAAACACATCGCGCTTTCCAGGAGGCCGTGCAGTTACCCCGCTGCTGCAGATCCAACAGGACGTTGTCCCCAGTTGGGTGGAAAATCAGAAATAAATAAATAAAGCAGCAAAAATATCAGTATCTGTTTTGGAACAGTGTTTTTTATTAAACAATATTTAAAAGCTAAGAATGAATGAATGCATGCTAGCCTTTTAAAACATAGCGATGAGGCATGAATATAAAAAATTAATTTCTTCAGCACTAAGGTTTTAGAAAGAAAACCCAATCTTACCCAAACTGGAATCCACAGCAATTTAGAATGAATTAAAATCAGTTAATTAACTGAAGTTACCACTTTAAAATTAATTAAAGCAGTAATAGAGGAGTGAAGTCTCATTAAAGAAAACCCATTTGTGCTAAAGTGGAACAGAAATCAAACACATCGCGCTTTCCAGGAGGCCGTGCAGTTACCCCGCTGCTGCAGATCCAACAGGACGTTGTCCCCAGTTGGGTGGAAAATCAGAAATAAATAAATAAAGCAGCAAAAAAATATCAGTCTGTTTTGGAACAGTGTTTTTTTCAGATCTCACCTGGACGGGAGGCACTGGTGAGACACTCTGGGTAGGCACTGAATGGTTAATCAAAGATAGAGATGGCAAAAGGTGGTTTGTTTCAGGATCAATCAAGTTCTGGGTCTTCTCTGGAGGCACCTGGTGGTGCTCATAGATGGTGGGGAGCAGCAACACGTCCAGATGGGATTATGAGGAGCATGAGATGCCTTGGGGATGTGATTCCCTGCCCTTCGCCGCTGGACATTGTCCATTCCAAGCCAACATCCTGGCTCCTGGGCTGGTTTTCCTTGGCTGTACCAAGGAAAATGTGTGAGGTACAAGAGGGCAATGGGGAAAATTTAAATTAAACTATTTTAAAAAAAAATTAATGAGGCAAATGACTTTGTGAAAATTGTCACATCTGGACAGGCTGGATCGATGGGCCCAGGCCAACTGTATGAGGTTCAACAAGGCCAAGTGCCAGGTCCTGCACTTCGGCCACAACAACCCCATGCAGTGCTACAG